GGCATTGCATCCTTCTACATAGATGCCATGTAAACCTGACAAACTACATCACTTATTCATTCACATCTTTCGAAGAAATCAGCATGATAAGAAGTCCCAAAGATTCCGAAGAAAGTGCAATATGTCAAATTGTTAAGCTCCATCACACTGCTCATTCACATATTTCATGAAGCTCACTAAGCCACAGGCTTGAAGAGCACCTCGGAGATGTGGCTGCGGAGTGCAGCAGGTGAGCAGTGAGCAGCGTAATAGAAGCTCTTTGCCACCAGAAGGAATGTTTGCTTGGTGTGGTGGTTGAGGTCATCTGAAGTCTGCAGCACACACCGAGCCAGCTCTTGCATCTCTGCTTCTACTGCCTTGTCCTTGCAGCTGCTTGTGACAGCGCACTCCTCTGTGATGCTCTGAGAAGATGACAAACCACTCTTAGGAACTCATTGATAGCAGGAATGTCGATATCGGTGTTCTAAAATATCCACAAAATATATATATATTATAATCGAGAAGAAAAACAATAAAATATACCTTAGCGGCAACCATCTGTCGTCGCCTTAGATTATGACAAAGGGAAGACAGTAGATGACAAAGCCGACTGTAATTAGGACGAGTCACCGTTAACTCCGTCGAACTGAACCTCCCTGCACAGCTTTCCATGGTCCTGACCAGCAGTAACCCCGTCTCTTCCCTTCCGAATCCGTCAGACGCGTCGCTATGCCATGCCATCAACCACTCCTTCCACTGAGAAAAACAAGATCAAAATTAAAAATATTATAAAAATGATTATTATTATTATTGGAATCAAAGAGCGAGAGGAGAAGGATCGAGATATTACAGCTTGTTGTAAATGATGGCGGACCAGCTGTTGTTGGAAGGCCGGCCGTGTATCAGCCGCCAGCCGCTCGATCAGCTGCCGGAGCAGACCCACCAACACTTCTCCCGCCTTCTTCCCTCCCATCCTGCGTTCAAATTCAGAAACATCACTCGCCATCTCCATGATCTTAAGAACTAATCACTTAAGCTGAGGGAGTACGCATAGAAAATGGTCCGGAAGAAGATTCCATCAGGATCTTAAGAAAGCAAGACAGTGTTGCACTCACCTGCTAATGTCATGGCCGTCGCTTCGATCATCAAGGAAGTCGAGGATGAACGATCGCCTCATCTCGTCCGTGCACGTGGCGCTGCTAAAATACGACGACACGGCGGTGGCCATCGTCGCGGTCCGAGCCCAACCCAACCTCTCGACCGCGCGGTCCGGTTCGAACACGCAAGCGGCCGCCAGAAAGAAGTCCCTCAGTAGGCTCCTCCGCTTCACCCTGTGCCATCGTAGACCGGCCTCCTCATACCATCTAATCATAATCGAACGATCATTATTTTTTACTGAAGAAAAGGGTTCACATACTCTTTCGCCTTGAAAACGGAGACTAGAAAGTGATCGAAAAAGGACAATTTGGAGAGTTAAATCTACCAATTCAGGGGGAAAATTGAGGACGGTCTCTTACACTTACTTTTCGAGGTCGAACCATTCGAGCTGATGGAGAGACTGACAGCGATTATAGTCCAACTTGGCCAACTCCAAGTACACGTCGTTGTTCACCAATGGCATCCTGCGACGACGACCCCAACAACTCCTGTTAGCTCTAGTTTATCTCATCCCACAGCTCTCCGATACGAGTATGCATCCGTAAAACTGGGTCCCACGTGGTATACGAGGTAGGAAAAGGAAAGAGCTTAAGATTAGGATGAGGCTGGCGAATGTCCCCCCCATTGGTCCGTGAGTCATGGGTCCCGTAGGACGTCCTAGGGTCCGTGCCGACCGACGACGACGACTTATGGGGAGAGTGGCGTTACCTGTAGAGCGTCTTCCCTATCCAGACGTCGCCGCTGCCTCCATACTGCTCCAAGTACAGCCTCGTCTCCACGCGAGGCAGGCTGGCGTACCAGGGGAAGTCCAGGGCGTACGCCACCTGTTGGAGGTCGATCTCATCGTGTCATGCAGCCTCGATCGAGAGTACCAGGCAAGCAGCTGAGGGAGTGTGTCGTCTGCTTACCTCGCCCGGCAAGTTCTTGGTGATGATCCACTTGTCCACCACCTGGTCGGCGGCTTGCTTCTCTCGCAGGTACAGGTAGGAGAAGCTTCTGGCCCGGTCCAGTATCTCCTCCCCGGGGAAGGCCACCTGCGACGCCCGGTTCAGGTTGTACATTCCGGTCACCGCCTGGGTCGATTGCCCGGCGCAGCAGAAGAACTCGCCGTCCTTCTCGAAATGCCGGAACACGCCTGCGACGGCCAAGTAGCACAGCTGTCTGAGACCATGCCTCCAAACTTGAATCGGGGATGCGTTGTTACTCACCGGCGGAGACGTCGTATCCATGCAGCCGGAGCAGTCGGAACCCCATCGATGTGTCGTCCACATCGTGTACTCTCGTGTTCTTCGCCCAGCAGATGCCGTCCTCGGTCCAATATCTGTGGTTCGGGCGATCATAATCAGATGCGCAAGAAGAAGAAGGTGGACTCTAAATCATTACCGACCTGTATACGTAGTCCAAGCAGTCTTTGATCTCCTGCTCCAAGTATCGAGAGATCCCGAGACGCTCCAACCGATCGACGACCCACAGGTGCTCGAAGAGATCCACGGGGTAAACGTTGGGCACTGGAGAGTAGAATCCGATCAATTATGGTGAAGGCAGAGTAACATGTGGAACGAGGAGAGAATGTCGTCAAAATGGTCTTACCCCCTCCACCAAATCTATGGACGACTCTCTGGAGATAATCGAGGCAGTTGTCATCACCAGTCTGCATCACAGCATAAGCCGTGGAGGAAGGTGAGAAGAGAAAGGAGCCATCAGAGCACCGGAGACGAAGCAACCTGTCCCAGTCTAGGCCCGGCATTCCTTCCAGGCTATATAGCAGCGTGTTGGGCACTTCATGCATCACATCTCTTGGAATCCTATATATCACATCCAGTAGCTCATTGACAATGCCTGGAAAGGTGCAGCAAGCCAGGTGAATGCAACACTGGGGTTTTGCTGCCGTACCGCTTCAGTTTCAGACTTCTCTTGGCGTCGATTTCCTGCAAAGAAGGGTCACCATAGGGAATCTCCAGCTCAAGCGCTTTGGCTATGTCAAGGAGGGAGGGGAAAGCGACTTCGAAGCCGATGGGCATCAGCTCTGCTTCCTCCTCACTCAATCTCCACATGTTCTCACGGATAAATGCAAGTCCTGTCAAGTTAAAAGGAGCCATTTCAGCTACAATCTTATGTGCATTCTTGTGTATGTGTGTGTGTGTGTGTGTGTTTGGTGTGGATGTGTCTGATGGCAGTGCTGCTACTGCTATTGCGATTGACCTCTCCTCCAAATATCCGGATAGATGGTCCATGACTTGAGAGCGATGACGCAGGCCAGGGTGTTGATCATCCGATCATGGGCAGAGAAGATGACAGCGTCTCCCCACGAGCCATCCGGCAGCTGGTTGTCGACGATCCACTGGAGGCTGGACGGGAACCGAGGGCCACCACTTCCGTCTTTGTTCTTGAGCAGTGCCACCCATGCCGTGTCGTATGCGGAGATGCTTATTTCCCCATCACCCATCCGCCGCAACATCGCTCTGACTTCACCCACCATCCGCCATATCCCTCTCGACCCACAGAGCTAGAGAACAAGATCCATCAATCATTACCATCTTTTTTCGGCTCCCAAACTTTACAGTGGGCACTTCACTATCGTCGACAGCTTCTTCATACAACAGAATTACCTCAAGCAATCCATCATCGTCGTCCTCCTCGTCGGCGTCCTGCGGCTCATTCTCTGGCAGATGAAGAACAGGCAATCCGTTCTGAATCAAGCCTACGCCGAATTCTGCAAGTAGATATGATAGCAAAGTGGACATTAAATCACTCGTAATCTGAATGCCATGCTGTATGCTTCTGCGCAGAGCGGTTAGCTTCAGTTTTATGTCCGGCCATGAAAGGCCAGTCTTCGCTCCAAATTCCACGTAGTTAAGGAGATCCATCGTTGGCAATGGCCACCCACTTCATCGAGGAAGCTCTTCTAGTGTTTATGTTCGGATCAAAGCAGCGAGGAAGAAAGCATCCGTTCCACGGAAATCAGCAGGGGATTCTGGTACGTACCTGGAGTGGTGGGTTTTGATAATGCATGGCTTCTCCACCGCGCAAAGCGCACCTCCTTCTCAGAGATGCCCAGATTGCACGGACCTACTGTTACACATGGACCCAAACAGCAGCAAAATCTTTAGCGGAATCCTCCCTTTTCGCTTTGCAAGATATGAAGAAAGGCCACTGGGAAAGGTGGCGTGAATTCTTGTTGTATATGGACCATGAGGTACTTCTGGTGATTCCCCCCATCCCTCACATGCATCGAAGAACTCGAGTGCAACCCGGCATGATGGAGGAACACGCAGCTTTAAATGACACGAGCATGGAAAAGGAAGTGGAGGATAGATCGTAAGAAGTACGTGCCTGGGACAGTCGGCGAGCTTGGTCGCAGCGCCAGCGTGCCGACGGCCGTCGTCATCGTCGTCGCTGCCGCCGAAGAGGAGACGGCCAGGTGTCAGCGGTAAGGGGGCGGCAGCCTTGGCTTTTCCTCACGAGAGAGGCAGAAAACCAACAAGCGGCCAAGGAAGCGAGTAAGGCAAAGCACGGAGGGTGGGAATAATGACAGAGAGGGAGGAGGAATGAAGACAAACTACACCACCGCAGGAGATTCCTATAAGGAAGACGAGGATCCTCCGAAGCATTGTATGGATGAAGTTGTGCAGTTGACTAAATTTCTGGGAGCCATCTCCTTCAAAATAAGAAAAAAATACATTATATTTATTGTCAATTGCAGGTTGAAATCTCACAGTAGGTTGATTCCTTGATGCATACCTTTTGATTGGGCCACAAATATTGGCTGATTGGATGGGTAGCATTGTATGGATGAAGTTGAGCAGTTGACTGAGCTTCTGAGATCCATCTCCTTCGAAATAAGAAAAACACGAATTACATTTATTGTCAATTGATGGTTGAAATCTAACAGTATGTTGGTTCCTTGATGCATACTTTTGATTGGAACACAAATATTGACAGATTTGATGCGTAGCAGATGGAGTTTAGCAGTTGACTAAACCTATTGATTTAACAACCGGACAAAATATTTATGTAAAGTTAACACCTAATCTTGTTATTCTAACGGTTTACTAAATCCTTCGACAACTAGACATGTTTTTGTATCTAATAATGGATCTATTTAGGTTTTGTTTAATTCAAAAAATTCACTTACACGCATATGTAATAGTACAAGGGTCCATATGTAATTATAGAGTAATGCATCATATTTTTTACGTATGTCTTTTCACTAGTGTAGAGATTATGATTATAGATTCAATATATTCAGGTGAAAAGTTTATGATAGCATAAATGTCAAGGATTTAATGTGGATTGAAAAAGTAATTTTTGGAGAGTGTTGGCATGTGACGTTCAGGTGCGATGGTATTACTAAGTTATGTTCTAGGTATAAGAAATAGTGGAGAGTCATTGACACGTATATGATTAGGTTGATGCATTTTGATACCACTTGGTCGAGAAGATGATAAAGACATCAGTTGTGGTGTAGAGGATGTTGCTTCATCCGGTATTGTAGTGTGAATTTGTGGAGAAAGAGATGAAGTTATAAAGGGGGTGAAGTATTGCTACACTGAAGTGATTTTTTTTTTTTTCTGTCCTTTCACTGTGCGTGTGATGCTACCTCAGGTTTCCTAATATTTTGATATTTACTTAAGGCCAATTAGGTATAATAGTAGGCTTAGGTTGAGACCGATAGATTTTTACTATGTATTTAATTTTATTAGAGAGGTGGTAGACGATTTTTTGTTCATTGTTATTATTGGGATGCTAGAGCTATTGATAATTATAGTGTAAGTTATTTAGATTGGAGCTGTCATGATTAAAGAATTGATAGTGTAATGGAGGATGATAGCTCTCCGTGTTACCTATGCGTTCAGAAGGTATCTTATTCGATCATTTGTTGAAGTTATTATTGCTTTAGTTGCTCTTTCTTTTGGATTTTTGACTGACTTGAGATGTGATAGTTAGTCTTGTCATCCTCTCTTCTCTTTTTAGATATGTTTCATGATTAATCAACTAGTTATATAATTTTTTAAATGATATCGGTGAGCCTCGTGCTTGAATTGCTGTCACTAGTTTCTTTTATTCATCTCCTAGGCCATTGAAAGTATAAATAATGATTTCTTCATCACTCATAGGATGATCGATTAAAGCCAAGTTATCTATGATAACCATTATACTTTACATATAATCAGTAATAGTACTTTCCTCTTATCTTGTTTTCTTTAGAAAAGATAGAAGACTTAGCATGCAAGTGCGAGGGTGATTGATAAGGGTGGTTTATAACTTTGACCATGCTTCTACTGTAGTACTATATAAAGATATTAATAGTGCTTGAAGCCAGCAACTGAGACTTGAATTACTTTTAGAATAAAACGATCCTATTATATCCATAACTTATTATCAAGATTTGTTATTAGATTGGGTTCTCTTGGTATTTAGATCTTTTTCTAGTGGATAACTAAGAGAGTCATCCATGTAGCCTAATAGATTATATCCAAAGAGAAGATTGAAGAATTGTGCTCGTCAAGATATATACTTGCCACCGTCGGATAATTTGAATGAGATTAGAGTTACAACATTGATGGATATAAGTTATATATATTAAGAAAAACTATTGTTTCTTGTCAAAACAATAATTAGAGTATCCGATATAGATGAGAAGGACATGTTGAGAATATTCACTGATCTAATAGATAAAGTTACAAGAGAGGAGCCCAATAGAGGGAGAAGAATTAAAGGAGGAGAATGGCGATAGGCAGGCTTAAATCTGTTCCAAGGATGGATTAGAGACTACAATATGTGAGTGGAGCATGCAATGATCCGATCATGTTCAAGATCAATAGCAATAAGCAAAAAGGAGAGAGAAATCTTATTATTATATGGATGGATCGGATCTGAGCCATAGCTAGTTTTCACCGAGCAAAGATAATGTCTACCAGAAGTCCAATGTGTGCGGAAGATCATCGAGCAAATATCAATAGTGAATCTGAGGATAATGGCAGGTGGATGCCATGATTGTTAGGAAATTTGAGGCGATATCACATGCACAACGGAAGAATAAAAATAAAAATCTCAGATTTCCACAGAAAAATAATCTCTTATCGTCGTGCGAAGATTGGTGTGCAAAAACCCACGAAACCAAAACTGTGTATACAAGAAAGATGTGTTACCTAGGGAGATCGTAAATCCCTAAAAACCTACAAATCTATGGGAGAGGATGAAAGAGCTCAACTATTCTCCTCTCTAGCGATGATCCACATAGTAGAGGCTGCAAAGATGCTCCTCAAATTGCTGTTTAAATCTCCTTGCTGCGCGCATCATGCGATCAATAAAGGGTCAACCCTTTTTGTTGTCTATATGCCGCAAATATGGGCTACTAGCTGAGAAGGAGAAGATAATAAGATATGGCAACCAAAAGGGTTCTAACCTATAGCCCTTTGGTTCCCTCCTATTTATAGAGGTCCAATGTCAACTTAACCCTAATAGATCATGCCTTATTGTGTACTGGATTTCCATCCAACTACCTAAGCCTCTTAGATTAGTGTGTCCATACCCAATAATCTCTCGTTAGCTCTTATTGGATCTCATATATATGACCTAATAATTCAGAGACTTATAGAATATCCAAGAAGATAGGGGCTCCAACGAATATCTCATATCCAAACCTCTACTCGTCGCAACACTTGCTATATGTGTGTGACACTCTAAGCTCAATATTGAGCTAGTCATGAGTTATACTTGTTAGAACTTCTTCTAGCTTAGTGAATTATTATCTCTATAATAATTCACTCGACTCATCGACTGTAGATGTACTAGGCCACTACATCGCAATCTCCAAATGATACAGAGGAATTCAATCCATTATACATGTCTATCCCAAATTATATATATATATATATATATATATATATATATATATATATATATATATATATATATATATATATATATATCCTTTTAGATATTTAAGACCACTCTGGCCCAAAGGAAAAGGAGAATCTTTGCCGCTCACTAGAAATCATACAAGAAAGAGAAAAAGAAGTGGAAGACAAAATAAGCTTTCTGTAGGCAAAGTGGGTTTTATTCAAGTCTTGCTCTAATATTCCAAAGACCGTATATCAGGCATGATGCTATCAATCCTATACAGTTTCTATTCGAGTCTTGCTCTAATTGGATTCTCCCGAAGAATTCTTTTTCTCTCAATCCGAATGACTCTAGTTTTGGATTTACCTGAGCAAATACACATGAGATATTCCTCTAATGACACCGAGAGTGGATGATCCTCTATCGATACTTAATAGCCCTCGAAAGGTTGGCTGCCACTCCCGTTAATTAGTTGTGTTGGATCTGAAACTTTCAGGTCAATAAGTCTGATATTAAAGAGTTGAGTACTCATATAGGATATCCTTGGTGTCTCAAGTCTAAGGACCAGATATGTCATTAGGATAATGAAATCATTGTCTGACATGAGGTATCATCAACCATCTAATATTTCGTAAGCAGATCAATTAGTTAACTCATTCTCCAATGAGCACATGCGCGGTATCCCTAGTATCCCCACACGAGCAGCTATTAGACCAACTAACTCCATTATATGAACAAATATACAACACACAATTCTATCCGGTCATCTCGATATCCTTTTCGAGTGACGTATGACCAGGATTATTTATGGTATATATTTAAAGGTGAATTGGTCTCATTATCGTGATCTCATCACAATCCGATTCCCATTGCACATATCCACGAACATTACAATACATACAATAGTCAATATAAAATAAGAAAAATATTAAATAAATAATAAAAAAAGTGTGCATCTCATGTCACACATGTCATAACTTACATGATTAGCTTGTAGGGTACTTATGACTAGTAGTGATTTGGTTGAAGTTCGTTAGCTTGATTTCTATAACGTTGTGAATAACGTGAG